AGGGAATATGAACATAAGAGCTCCGGCAGAAAACAAGATGAGGGGAACTTATGATCCAAACTATCAAACATTGGCTGGTCTCAACAATGATGATGTGTTTAAGCCAAAGGTGAGGGATTATCCTTCAGAGACACATTTCCGATTATGTTCCTTCGAAGGCGCATTGCAACTCGAAACTTTCGAGTTCTAATATGAGTTCGTATATGCAAATGGTTTGAAGACAAACCCCATCGTGGATAGTAGTATTTGATTAAAAACCTGTAGCCGCTGAATGACTCTCCGGGGATAAACAAGCAAAAATTATGAAGAACAACCTGAGGATCTAGCAGCCTCTCAGGACAAACTGATCGGACCTGCTCTGTGCCAGCAAAACGATATTCCTGCCCTCTGGCTCGCTGAATCCTTTCTTCAGGGCATGCAATGATCATACCATCTAGCGGTTGAAAAAGAAACGAAAAACGAGAAAACGAAAACTGAACTGAAACAGGAAATAGCCCTCGAGTTCTGATGGGCGGGGCGACAAAGGAAGCATCAGGATCGCCACTTCTGAGAACCGTAGCGTCTTCAGAAGTGGCGATTGCTCGAGCGCGGGGGACTGTCCTCAAGGGCGTACAAGAAAAAGACATCGCCCTAGGCAGGCACACCGTTGGGCGAGCATTTAAAGGCGCGGTCCGTGATAAGCAGCATAGGTATTGGTGTCGAAATATGGAAAAGAAGATATCAAGTGACCCGTCTGTGAACATTTTATAGGGAACGTTCAGCATCAGCTTTGATGGGGCAAATTCGGTGAGCAATTGTACGGGTAAAAAGCCAGAGGAACAAGTCCATCGGCTGATGCCTTGTAGCAAACCCCTGAAGGCCCCATGAAAGATATAAGAACATCCATTTTACGCTAACATTGCCCGTTAGCATCGCTGGCTAGAAGACGAACTTTGAAGGCGTAGTTTGAAGGCAGAGTCGCTGGGAAATGAGGTGCCGACTGGAACAACTTGCCCACCTTAACTCGCTTTTACTTTACAACTTCCCGCCATGAGCACGCAGGTTATCCACTGGGCGACCGCCACATATTTTACATTTTCATCTTGTTATAACTGCTACCGCTTCAAGAAGCCGAGCCACTGCTGCGCGCATTGAAAAAGGCGCACCATGACCTTACCGCAACGGAACCGACATGGGAGGGAGGGCTCACTATGGTATACTTGGCCCAGATTTTATTTCTGGGATACTACATATCTTTCCGTACTTTCCGGTATTCATGATAAATTGCCCATGTCCAGTACCAGTCACACTTGCAGAAACACTTTATAATTTGTTGTAATCTGGGTTGCCCAGGCGCCAAAAACTGTTGTACTTAAGTTGGCACCTTCGATGGCAAGCATCATTGGCGAAACGAACAATCATTAGTAAATCGATGGTTTGTCTGATTATGCGTGTATAGCGGTCCAATGGGCTCTGACTCTGTCGCTTGACAGTAAGAATCGGTTGGAAGGACGACTGAACATCACACTCCACCCTAATCAACAGGGCTTTCCCCTCTTGAGTCTCTAGTTTCCTGACTGAGGCAGTTGCTGACCCAAGTGTTATGAGCCCAAGCTCGCACCCAGACTTTCCTGGGATATCTGATGGAAGTTAATGCCACAGGTGCTGGTGAGCGTCGAACCCCAGTTGTTCATTCCTGTGTTCCACGGCTACGTGGCCATCCAGTATGAAACTGGTATTACGCATCATATCGCTCGTATCATTTTTCAGCCTACTTATATAAATTTACAAAAAAGGGAAACAGCGCCTTAACGCGCCCTCGCTCCGAAAAATAGGGCACACGGTTGCATGTGGAGTATGGCTTTCTTCATCAATATGCTTTTAGGGTTGTACTCCGTTCGGAGGTGGTACTCCGGTCAGAGGTGGAGGTTGTAATATCAGAGCTCCACAGCAGAACAGAATGGTTGGCACGTACGACCCTAACTATCAAACATTAGCCGGATTGAATAATGACGACGTTTTCAAGAAGAAGGTTCTTACAATTTCACAACATTCTTATGTTATACTTTGGAAGGAGCGGAGGTGGTGTAGTGGCATGGCACGCTCACCGCTCGCGCGGTCCCAGGTTCAAATTCTGAGGCGACTCTCGCCCAGGTCAGCCTTCTACCCTCCGGGGACGGTAAATTGGTTCGTCTGGGAGGATAAGAACACTGACTTGTACATCGGCTGGCCAGCAAGTCATTGTATAGGCCACATCGCATTCAATAAGCCACTACGATTCTGAATGGAAGTAGAATGCGTGCCGCATCCCACAAAGGGATTGGTCGGCTAAGATTCTATCCTTTATCATTATCTGCTATCAGAGTCGGGGATTATGTCCGAATCGGCTCTCGCCCAGACCAACAAAGCCTTCTGGCCCTTCTACCCTTCGGGGACGGTAAATTGCAGAACAGACTTCGTTTGGCCCCCGCAAGTCATTGTATACATAGGTCGTACCGTTCTGAAAAAGTCACTACCATAGTGAATGGAAGTAGATATCGATTACGGCTTCCTCCATCAAGGAGCTTTCAGGATGGTGGAGGAGGTACTCCGGTCGGATGTGGTACTCCCGTCGGACGTTCTCCAGTCGGAGGTTTCAACATCCGAGCTCCACAGCAGAACAGAGTGGTGGGCACGTATGACCCCAACTATCAAACATTAGCCGGACTAAACAATGACGACGTTTTCAAAAAGAAGGTTCGCGGAATTTCACAACTTTCTTATCTTAGAACTTTAAGAATGTCCAACTTCTTTCTTATCTTAGAACTTTAAGAAAGTCCAACTTCGGAAGCTTGAGTATCGTTAGCTGAATGGCCTGTCTTCCAAATCTCTATTCTCCTTCTGGAGCAGAGACTTTATCCTTTCATCTTTTTGTCTTGCATTGCTATGCTGTGTTTTTGATGCTCTTTGAATGTCATTTCTACACATGTATGTTCCAGGAGCGGAGGAGGCGGGAATTCGGGCAGTAACCATTCGAGCTCTTGAAGTAAAAATAGTGTGGGCTTATGACCCCAACTACACAAACTTGCGCCGGAATGGACAACGAAGACATTTTAACCCGAGAGGCTGGGCGTGATTGCTTCCTATTTCAAGGGGACCGTTTTGATAGTGGGACTTTTTGATGTTTCGTTGCATTTCTCATAATAATTTCCTAGGGGGGCGGCTATGGTCAGAAAGGAGGTGGCAACATTCGAGCTCCGGAGGTGAAGAGAACGGTTGGCACATATGATCCCAACTACCAAACCCTTGCAGGGTTGAATAATGAAGACGTTTTTAAACCTAAGGTTGGCGTATGTTCCCATTTTTCTTTGGCGAAATTCCTTTGAAACCCAGAAATTACACACGTCTCTTGTGTTCTTGCAACGCAATGCGCAAAAAGTAACATAGTCGAGCCTAGGGCTGCAGAGAAAATTCTCCAGGTAGTCTACACCAAGCGGCTTCTCTATGGGGAACCTGTGTACTCTTACCACGCAATCACTCGAATTAAGTCAAACAGGCTCAGACGTTGCGATGGTGCGCGTCGACGCGCTATAGCGCGCTGCATCATGCGTCGACACGCTGTGACGCGCGTTGAAGTTAACGGCGCTCCAACGGTATAGGGGCGAATGCAGTCGTAGACGGGAATCAATGGTCGCCGGATGCCTGTGTTCCGAGAGAGTATAGGGAATAGGATGGTAAGTGTCAGTCTCACGCAAAAATGGCGCTGGCCGTTAGTAGCTACCAGGCGTTCGCGTCTGTAGCTCTGGAGGGTTATTGCAAACTGTAGCGCGCCAGTCTGAACGTTTCTTCATTCCGAACTGACAGTTCGCTTACGCACTTGCTCCGGGCCTTCCGTGGCGTATCCGCGTGTCTGCTAGTCAGCGTCCTATTTGGCTTTCAAATGAATAAAATTTGAATATGTGCACATCAGAGAGGTTATTCTCCTCCGTTCACGGTATACCAAGGGCCGCACTAAAGGTGTGAATCAACGCACTGGGATACACAGCAAATATCGGGGAGACGGTCAAGAGAATCTTAATACGCTGCTCCGCCGCGCGCGGCGATGGGGCGGTATTCCTCATCGGTGTCAACCTGTCGATTGGAGCCCCAGATTTTACGTGGGCTACGAAACTGTGGATATTTTCGGCTACATTTACTTCTACAGTACCTGTTGTCGCCATCCATGACCTACAACCATCGTCATTTGCTGGCGCGACGTCGCACGCGAGGCCTTAGCGCGGCGAATTGTGATTCTCTTGTCACGTAGGCCAGACATCGCAATCAGTGGGGCACTTCCAAGGAGCTGGAGCGAACCCTACCGTGCCGTTTCCGCTACAGGAAAAGAGTGTTTCTTTCATCAAATCGATCAATTACCAATCATCATTGGTATGACAGGGCAGCCGGGGGCGGGTTCACTCCACCTCTCCGGAATTTGTACCTACTGATCACGATGTTAACATCTAAAAATAGCAGAGATGGATGATCATAGATAGTATGTCAAAAAGAAACGCAGAAAATAATAAAGGAGGAGCGCGAAGGATGATTTGGCGGGCAAGTAACACAAAAAATAGAAGGAATTAGTATGAGCAGGTTCAGTACAGTACTATAGCGTAGTCTATGCTAGTTCAATGTCGCAAAGTTGAAAGAATGGTAATGGTTCCCCGAACAACAGAAACCTGCGCTGTTAATAAAACAAACAATGAAGTGATATCTTGTGATTGAAGACATTCTGTAGGACCTAACAACCCCTTCTGTGCCGCTTAACCGGGCATTGTGACGAGGCGTTCACACTCACCTTTTACGCTTGCTGTATGAAGTCCTATATGAGTTCTCCCCAGACGGAAAACTCTATTATATGAAATATCCTCTGTGGTTAATTTCTACGTTTTTACTAGTTTCATTCTCCTGACAGTTTACTTCTCCAGGCAGGGGGTGGTGCCCAGAAAGGAGGTGGAAACATCATTCGAGCTCCAGAGGTGAAGAAAACCGTTGGCACATATGATCCAAACTACCAAACCCTCGCCGGATTAAATAACGAAGATGTTTTCAAACCTAAGGTTCAAATTTTTTGTATTCGTTGCCTTTTATATTTCCCAATGACCTCTCCTGTCATGGCGAAATGATTAGCAACTGACAGAACTCGAATCCCCGTTCTTGCTCAGTGGGCTGGCTGAAGGCAACTGGGTCTTGGTGGTTTTGCGGAATTTCAGTCCTTGAAACGTACCCGTCGGACTGCGATGTTGCACACTGTACGGAGGTACTCTTTGAGCTGACTAATTGTAAGACAAAAGAGCGGAGGTAAGAAAAGGGTTTTCCACTACCTGTGCAACCTCAAATGATTCTCCAATGGGTGCTTACGACAGCGTGCGCTAGCTAGACTGAGCGCATAATACCCTTCCTGAATTATGGAAATTCCTGCAAGTTACACCGGGAGAATAGCTTCACGCTGACCATTTCTGGGGCATTCACATTTTTCGATGTATGACAAAAGTAGTGGAGTGATGCATTATTTTTTGCAGAAAAAAGGCGGCCAAAACGAAATTAACGAGGACCGAAGGGTTGGTCAACGAGTACATTAGCAATAAATGTTCCATATGTCGTTTTTGTGTGCACCAAACAAGCAACACTAATCCAAATGTTGATTTTGGCTTGCACAGAAAATCATCTGAACATGTGTTACTGAAATTTGCGCTCTCTCTCGGATGACATTTTTATGCGGACATCTCGTCCACTGTGACCAAGGTCTGTCTCGCCCCAGATATGCATGGCTGGTACCGGGCTCAGTTAGGAGACCAAAGCAACTCATTTGTACATGGCCTCCCCACTCCACTCCCAGAATCACCCATGTCCTACATATTTTACATTTGTACGTGCGTGTACACGAACACCCGCACAGGAAAACTACCGTATGTTCTCATGACTTATGTACAGTCCTCATCATTGCGGACCGGTGGGGCGTGTCAGCCAGTATGAGTGTGCACACTGTTGAAGCCGTTCTCAGCCTTTTTGTTGAAACGCGTATGCGACAAAAAGTGGTAGAAAACGAGTAATACGAAGGATATAATACAGTAATGTCACTTGCCCGCTTCAACAACTGGTGCAGAACGACTTTGGCACCGCGCCAAACGCAGCCGCACTGACACGCCCGGTCCGCAATGATGAGGACTATACCTACATGCCGCTCTCTGTTCAGGGGAGGTTTGGAATGAATGTGTGCGTGTGTGTACTTCATGAATACAACCAGTCGGATCGCCCGGCTGACGCCGAGCTCTCCTCCTTCTCTTTAGCTCGGCTTCGCCGAGCTGGCCTGGCTTCGCCAGGCGCGCATAATGGGAACGGAACTTTTTATTACTAGGCTGCTCATACGGTCATGGTCGAATTCGACATATAGAGCAACCCTGACGATCTGCATCCTTACATAACGCTTCTATTTTGCGGTACGCGTCAATATGCCCACACAATACGATGGATCTATAAAGATATAAGATACAAAAGCAGTCGAGAAATACATGCAATAATGAACCGCTTCAATAGAAGAAACGCAATTCTTTTTCATCACTGCCACCGCAATTGCGATTGTACCATGAACGGCTTCCCCTTCAAATTACCATGCAACCTGGTTCGGAAGTACAAAAGTAGTAGGCAATATAAAAAAGCTTTCGAACGCCGATTAAGTGTCACATTGATTTTCAGGTTCCGGTGTCGGTGCTCTCTCAATTTCCTGAGTTTTCCTGTTCCAGGCGAACTACCCCCCCTCCCGGCTCTGACAATCGAAATGTGAATATAGCGCTCATGAGTTCATTTTAAGCTGTTATCAAAGAACTTCATGGCTGAAGAAAAGTTCGCTTACTGAGACTATCATTATTGGGCAGTGTAGTGGTCACAGATGTCGTGAGAATGTCCCCTTATTTTTTCTCATCAATCATTTTAAAAAAACTTGTCACCCGTCATCAATGTCGCTATCACTAAAACTCCACAAGTTCGTGGAGTAGAGACTCCAGCATTTGACTGAAAACAATTGCGACGTTCTCTGTCAACCCATATCAGCTGCTATCACTTCCTTCACCATTGGTCGACCAGTCGTCCACTTCCCTAGCCACAGAGCCGTGTATCATAATCTTGGAACAGAAGTCCCATGAGGTCTCGATCCAGGCCTCTGCATGCATCCTTAACACATCCCAGTCCGGCGAGCACATCGCAGGGGGAAGCGAAGGAACAGATCGAGGGGGAAGAGGGAAGGACGTCGGCGCCCCCCCTCCTCGCTCGGCCCACCTGCCCACCGCACGATTAAAGTGTCCAGCTGCGCACGGCAGCAGGCGTCGCAGCTCAAAGTGTAACACCGAAATGGTTGTCTTATAAACGGAGCTGTTACCACAATTCAAAATCATTGGACTGATACATCCGCAGCAAATCGACCGTACCGTAACCGCAGCCGGGCCCCCCCCCCCCCCGAGACCACGCCCCCCCCACACCGTTTGCTAGCGTCGTTTTCTCCATCGCGAACTCGAACGCGTGAAGTATTATTGGGCACCGACAGACAGACAGACATACAACGATACAAACTTCAACACCAAAGTTACTGGTCCATAGAATGTAAGGATTCGTTCCAACTAGTACTGCAACCAACAGCTTTGGGTAGCTGTTCCACGAGATCCACCTACGTTACGTGTTATGAGGTTTGAGCAAAACTCTCAGAGCGGAACTCTTCAGAAGCTCTTGTCCCTTACTGTCGTATTTTATCACTATATTTTCCGCAAATTCTCCAACATTTCGTGAATGATTAGCCTGCCCATCAGTTCCGAATGTTACAGGGCAGGGCGTCAAAAAAAGTCGCTTTTTCATTGACTTTCGGGCGCTATTAAGTTACACTTTATTAAATTCTGATCAGACATTTCCACCACTATATTAAAGAGCATATTAATTTATATCATGCATATCCTCCACAGTCTTCTTAGGCGAGCACGAGATTCTGGCACGCGACTGTGTGAGTTCGGGCGTACCTGAGATCAGCGAGATATTCGATTTCTTCGCCACCGTAGACCACCCTATTGAACTCCGCCCGAACCGGGTAATTGAGGGGATTCAGGTCAGGTGACCTACTTGGATATTCCATCTTCTTTAGGTACTCAGCCCCCTTCCATTCCAAATAGGCGGGATGTTTCTATAACGCCCTTTGATTTCATGTGGTGGCACTCAAATGGTGAGCAGCTACAAGTTTCCAATGAAGCAGTACGCGGCATGTCCTTAACGAGAAGTGCCCAATGTAACTACCGCGCTCACCTCTCACTCAGAGCGTCACGAAGAAAAATATTGGTCTTCCATCCAGGTGTGTCCGGATCCGATCGGCAGTCATACATCAACCACGACCTAGCCACTGCGGTGAAGATAAGTGTCCTAGACCGTGTGCGGCCTATAATCGGAGCTGTGTCAATGGAGAGTCAATCAGACGAGACCGGGTACCGTACTTATCTCTCAGGTAGCTATCCATGGGTGACTCCATACTAGAAGTTTCGCAGCTGTTTGGAGGTGACATGAATTCCAAAGGTCTTCTCCAGTCAGGCGACTGGAGATGACTTCATATTTTGGTGTACATGAAGGTGATGGGTGCGAGAGCAGATAGCCTTATGCAGACTTATCTTAGGTATCTTCCGCCCTAGGTACTCGTATCACGTTTCTGTCTGGGCAGCCAACGAAACCTTGGGTATATGTCGACTTCGTAGTCACAATTGACTTTTTTTGGCGCCCCGATCCCCTAAAGCTAGAAAAAAAGTGGACCTTTCTCTTATAATTCTTGAAAGGCTTCTCGGCATCATGCTATCTGAGTGAGAAGGTCACAGAACAATCGATAAACCATTCAAAAGTGTGTCATTACCACTACAGAAAGTAGGCCCTGGTACCATAAAAACCAGGTTGAAATCATGAAACCCAGTGATCTTACTGGAAGACTTGCTGATGACGTCCCAGGCTCTCATTAGCAAATTGTCCGGCGTACTAACTTTTGCCAAATGAATGACAGCTTATTCATTTCAATCTTGATACAACCAATTGTGATGTCATACTGTTATGTGACTTGCTTTACGGAATTGAATGCCTGGAAGCTTTACGACTTCATAGCGGATGCAATATGCACGACCTGTTGAAGAGTGATAAGCGTTCGTGCTTGAGCGCTAGCTCTTTACTCTCTGCTATTTTGCTTATACATGTCTCTTCTGGACAGAGACTCCAAAACCACAGCATCGAGTTTTCTGCATTCTGAAATCACTGACCTGATAATCAACCCATTTCAGGATTGCTGAGTAACGGACAAAGTCAGACCTCAGACCAGACTCGAGCCGCATTCCGTCGGCTGCGTTATATGTATTTCGATAACGAGAACCTTATTATACTCTTCGTTGACATTCTGTCGCCAGTCGGCGTACAACAGCACCAGCGCACGTTTATAGTTGAAGGCGTTAGATTATTGGCAGTGCAACGCGAAGCAGACGTTTTCTATAGGCTGGTTGCCTCAACTCATCGGTATTCTTACCTAGTTGCGAATGGGAGGTGAACGCTCCGCACCTGTGGAAGTGCCTTGCACTTTTCACTAACAACAATATGGCGAAAGTGGTAAAGGTATAGTGGATCTCTCATAGTATTCGGATCCACCACAGGAAAACCGTAGATGAAATGTGCCGCACGGTTTGGGCTGTCATGAGTGCGTCACAGACGCAGTCACGCCCACAGCGCGCTCACCGCAGCCCACGGCCTGCAATGAAGAGGAACTGTAGTTCTCGTTCACGTTAACTTTACTGAAACATCCACTGGGTTCGAGCCCATAAGTAATGCACCTCCTTTCTACCCAAATTCGTGCGCTAAGACGAAAAGTTTTAGTTGAGATGCATTACTGTTTTGGAAGAGAATCTCCTGCTTTATTGCGGATTGGTCCTTCATAGTTCGAAACGAAACGTTTTGAACAGCTCTGTTTTCTGTCAATTAAAACTCTACCACACAGTGCCCCAATTGCCTTAGTTATCGGGACGAGGCTATGTCTCTTAGGAATGCTCAATAACGGTCTGCACGTTATTGAATTCTCACATTCAGACTGACACGCCAATCAATCGAACCCTACATGCCCTATGATCTCTGGCAGCTTACTGACAATGAGTCACCTCATTCTTGGAGATACAGCCAAGATGAAAAATCGTTAGAGTTTCCAAAAAATTTAATGGCTCTATCGATCCTTATACATAGCAACCCTCGGTTATCTTTACGTTGAAATATATTTGCGGTTAATGAGTAGGCAGTCGACTTTTTCAAGAGCACCCATGCGTACATATCGACATAAGTCAATTACCCATCTCTAATTTGTTCGGAAATCTTTCAAACCGAAGAAGCATCTTTTTCGTGGTCATGGTATATCACCATGTTAGAGTCCTTTAAATGCTGCGCCAGATAAAGTACAAAAGGTTTTTGTCGAAAACTCACTTCTGGGTCGACCCTACATCCCATTCAATGAAACAAAATCGACAAAATCGACAGAAATCATGAAATAGTAGGTTCAATAGGGAATAGGCTTTCAGACCGTCTATTGAGTGGGAAATTATCTATCGAACTGCATATGGAAATGATCCTCATCTTCCATATAAAAATTTGTGTAAAGCGTTCCAACCATAAAATGGTAACAGAAGGTGGAGCTAACGATAAGATCTTCTATACGGAGTAAAGTGAGTTCATAGTTGAATAAATGAAGCTAGCAAACACATGTGCTTATAGTATTTTTCAGATACTCGGACGTGTCACAAAGAGGGGTCACCAGCTGGTGTCGCTTGCTCCCTTACACAATTGTTGGCGAACTGCATAGCGCCGCGCCACCCCTCCCCCCTCATCCCTTCACCTTGACACGCCCTAGCATATGCGACGAAATATAGCTCTTATATAGCACTCGTATAAATTTCGTGCCTTCTAGGAAGCGGTCATTAACCGGAAATTTGCTTCATTCTGAAAGGTTTGTCATGTGAAAAAAGACCAGGATGAGATACTTCTTTATTTTAATTCAATTTCGACAATTTTGAGAGCAAGTTTATGCTCTGACGGCCTTTCTCCTCACGGCACGCTTCTTGGCGACAAAGCGACGGCTAGCCCTCCTTCTGGCATACCCGGAAGGTCCACTGCCGCCAGTTCCACTGTTGCCTCCAGCTGGTCCTCCATTGTCTGCAACGCTGCTTCCGCTATTCACACCTCCGCTTCCATTCCGTGCGGGGCATGGACAGTATTCTGCATCTTCACCAGGAGGAGCATCCTCACCAGGAGGACCAGGTGGACCAGCGGGTCCAGGCTGCCCTGGATTACCACTTGGACCAGGTGGCCCTGGTGGTCCAGGAGCGCTAGCTCCGCCACCATTTCCGTCTGGTCCTGGCTGTCCTGGTGTTCCTGGTTGTCCGGGAGGGCCAGGGGGTCCGGGCAATCCTGTTCCTCTGGTTCCAGGTGCTCCAGGCTGACCAGGAGCTCCAGGTTGTCCAGGACTTCCAGGTTGTCCGGCGTCTCCTGGTGGTCCAGGAGGTCCAGGAGGTGATGGTCCACTTCCACCTCCAGGGGCTCCGGGGTTTCCGTTAGGTCCAGGTGGGCCTGCGCTTCCATCTGGTCCTGGTGGTCCAGGTGGTCCAACTGGACATTGGATGCATTCACCCCCGTTGCCTCCGTTGGAATTTCCGTCGTTTCCAGGTTTGCCAGGTTGTCCCGGTGCTCCAGGCTCACCAGGCAGTCCGGGTTGTCCAGGAGGACCAGGTGGTCCGGCTGGGCAATTATTTGGCTGTTGACCACAGTTGCATCCACCTCCACCACCTCCACCCGAGCTGTAGGACTCTCTGCGGAATAAAACTGCTGCTCGTCTGTGACGTTCCATTTGAGGGTCGGTTCTCATCTCGTGCCAGGCGGAGTTCGCGAGATCCTAAATAACCGCTTATAATAGTAGTAATGAGAAGCGAAGTCCAATTTTGTAACTACCTGGAAATCTCCTAGTTCATGAATTGCCTCGTCGTAAAAGGCGTTGATGTCGTTGAGGATGTACACAACGCTTACGAGCGAAACTACAATCGTCACAGCTGATATAACGGCCACGCCACCTGCTATAGTCGTCAGTCCCATATCTGGAAAGCGGCACGATATGACGATGGTGTGTCCCAGATAAAGTAGAACGATAAAGTCGATATCGCGGCAATCAGTCGGAGCGGTGCCAGGAGGCGTGGAATGAGCCCTTCTCGGGCTGCTTATCCTACCAACAGCGACCGACTAGTTTTCGATTCAGGAAGAAAACAAACAATGGTAGAAAAGCCGAGGATAGGCATACGCTTCCTGACCAGGACCCGTCCTGCCAATGGGGGAAATTTTCGCGAAATGCGTCCCTCCCCCAAATTCGTCTTCTGCTGCGAACCCTCCTCCCTCCCGCACGCTTTTTTCTACTTTCGCTAAAAATTCCCGAGGGTATCCATATTTTGCCCACATTTTCGTTGCCGAGCGGGAAGGGGGAGGGGGTGGGTAGCAGACGTGGAACGGAAAAAAAACCCGAAAACCATTCAGGAAGATTGACCCCCCCCTCTCTCTCAACGACAAGGGAAAACGATCCCTCAGTGGAAAACTATCAAAATCGACTACCAAAAAATTCTCAAACCAGATACGACCCCCTCCCTCCAACGGCCGAATACGACCCCCCTCCCTAGGGAACCCCTCTTTTCGTGTTCCTGACACCTCCCTGACCAATTGTGACGATATCAGTCGTACACATTAGTACATATCTATAGATGTTACTTATACGAAGAAAGCGACTAATCTCACTAATAGCAGAAAATGAGCTTGCAACATAAAAATTGCTTTCTATAAGTGAAAGGACCGATGAACTGTGTGTACTGAGTGCCTAAGGCTTGTTCCTTTCGCCTTTTATGCGAACGATCCAAGGACATTCGCGAACATCAGCGCGATCCCTTTCGATTTTTACATTACTTAGCGATGTTGGGCATAACTGAAACGGAAACTTGATTAGGGCTCGTCAATCAGATGAAACACCTTGTTAGCGCACATCTGGGGTTTTACAATGTGTAAGCTGACAAGCTTGCTATGAAATGGAATTCATTGCATTACCCATTATGAGGCAATACGCGATTAGGTAAGGATGTCGGGAAAACGGCACGGCGACAGGTTTTTAAGTGCTTCAGGGGTACACGACAAAAGCTCAAACAAGGTCACTAATTATGCGTATAATTCAAAGCACTGTCTGGCTTCCACTTGAACTCAAATGAACAAAAGAGCACGCTGGGTGCGTTTGACTGTGGAATAAATGACAAATTTGTCACAACTCCTTAACCATGACCCCAGAACGATGCCGAGTACCACATTACTAGATGAGTTTTCTTCGTCTAGCTACATCCTGGGGGCTCCTTCGTTCCCGTTGTCACACGCCGGTATCGCTTGCAGAGACCAGAACTAAATGAATACGGGAGGGGTAACAAACAGAAATCAACAGGTAGTACGAGAGACGTACAAACCAGATAGTACCCACAAGTGGGAAAACTATCCATGCTCAAATTAATTGGAAATTTCATGCTAACTGAAGCAATGAGGCCTTTTTCAAGTTGTTCTTACCGTCAAACGCAGTAGCAGCTGGCCGTTTCCACAGGTCAAATGGCAGTGATTAGGGCCATCTCGTCAAAAAAAAGACTGCGAAAAACTGCGAGGTGAAACCGTCGACTTGATGGATCCGCTCAGTTTAGGACATTGCGAATAAGTGCTAAAACCGAACATTTTTCTTACCCATTTTCCCTTTCTCACCCTAACATGCCTTTACCCACAACTATTTATGTGTATGTTTGTCATCTCTGGTCGAAGATAAGCCATAGGGCCAGGGCCGCGGTCTTCCCTGACGGGCATAGCATCGTTGTGCTAAGCCCATAAGGTAGCTGGGAGATCCGGTATTTCTTTACTTGCGAAAGATTGTTTTGGATTAAAGTTTTTTTGCTGTATCATGCGTTGCATCGTATATATTGTATACAATGCATATCAAGACAATACAGACAATACAATCCAATACATCCCTCCCTTCCTCAGTACCACACCCCCCTCCTCTGCCGCCCAAATGCAGGCGCGGTAAAAACTACTATGCCTGGTTATTAATTGCAACTGTCTACTAACCTAACCCTCCTCTTTCCGCTTCAAGGAGAACTTTGGGGGAGAATTTGATGAGAAGACAGGCAACTCACAAAGGGGTCGTAGTTGATTACAAGGGGCATGTTGCCATCGCTGCTCTCCCACCTTTGCTATACCCTACTTGGGGGTGATGGAAGGCTATGGGTTGTTACATTTAAAGGTGAAAAAGTCACTTTGTGTACTGTGTAATGGTATACTGTATGTGCTTTCGTTCTGCTCATACTAGAGCTCGCCGCTCGGCCGCTATCAAGGGCAGTTTTGAGACATTCTCCTATATTTCTGCACAACTGCTGTTCAATATTTTGGGGTCATTTGTATCAGTATTGATTGAGAGGCGACTGTACAGTTGTCTTCAAGGGGTTAAGAGGCGCTCAAACTTGCCCCTTGAGATCATATGAGCTGAGCACCTATCGGAAATGCAATGCGCAGTTCAGGTAAGGGTGCTTGATCCACGGCATACTTGTGCAACTATGACGTTCTCATGAGTGGCTCATCACAGCTGGTTATAATTGAAGTTAATAGCATGAAGCAAGCTAAAGCTGTTGAATGGAGGATTATACAAACGAATGCTTGGTTCAGATGAGAATGTGTTTATGATTATTGAGGGTATGTGACAAGAGGATCGTGAATCATCGCGCTGTCGGCGTCGCGTGCGACGTCGCGCCCGCAAATGACGATGGTTCCAGGTAGATGATGGCGATAATCCTTCTTTTATACTATAAACCCAGTAACTTTGTGTGTCGGTTTGTATGTTTGTATGTATGTATGTGTATGTCTGTCCGTCCGCAAAATGCTTCACGGGTTCGAGTTCGCTGGAGGCGAAAACGACCGCTAGGCAAACCGGAAATCGATTGGTGCGGAAGTATCAATCCAATGTTTTGATCGTGATATCGGCCTCCGCTATATAAGACAACCATTCGGTACGCTCCGAGCCATTGCACGAGCTGCTGGCGTGGCAGCTGGACGTGTGCTCGTGCGGGGGCAGGGTGGGGTGGGGCCGATGGGGGGGGGACGCCCAGTGCCCCCCTCTGCTTCCTTCCCCTGCGCGTGCTCAGCCCCATCTGAGCATGCGCAAGGGAAGGAAGCAGAGGAGACGGTCCGACTGGAATACTGGGGCGTTTGTTCTAAGGTATGATATAGGTTACGGCACAGGAATATGTGTGACAAGAACTGCTAGCTGCTGATAAGGGGAATTAGAGTGGAAAGGACAACATACTCATAACGCGGGACACAGCATCATAGGCGTTGATTTCAGCAAATGATAGGAGAAGGCGACGGCGGGTGACAGGAAATGATAACAGCTGATAAGGCCTGATAGAGAAAGATGCAGTCGTTGTTCAATCAAATGTTGGAGCCTCTACGCGAAATTATGGAGTTTTGGTGATAGCGACATTGATGACGGGTGACAAGCAATTTTATCAATTGATAAGCAAAGATAAGGGGACATCTCACGACATCTCTGACCACTACACTGCCAAAAAAGCCTCTCAGTAAGCGAAATTTTCCCACAGCCATCACTCCTCTGATAGCACTAGAAAATGTACTCATCCCACTAGGGGGGGGGGGTATATACTTCGCCTGAAACAGGAAGTTTGGAAAAATCAAAAAACTCCAATATTGAACACGCTTTGGGTGCCGTTCTGTGAGTATCAACATAGTTTTTTGCTTACAACTTTTAAACACTGATGAGAACGTATAACGAAGTAGTTTGTAAGATATTCAATGAACATATTGTCATCTGCAGCCATTCATGCAACCATAGCAGGTGGATTGCATGTTAATGACAAGTCAATTGCCCATCGTTGCTGTTGTGATGCAGGTAATAAAAACGGAATTTGTTTATCTACTGTGCAACACATATTGATGATTCATGTACTTCCTATCTATTTCTGAGATCTACGTATAGAATGGGCGTTATGGCCGAAACCACACGCCTTCCGCAACTCTGAGGGGTGCAGATTTCGCTAGGTTACTCTGTCTATTATGATTCGACCACTACCGCGCAATATGAGCAGCTCATGCAATTAACTAATTCCATCCCGTCATGATGTGCGCCTGGCGAAGCCAGGCCAGCTCGGCGAAGCCGAGCTAAAAAGAAGGAGGAGAGCTCGGCGTCAGCCGGGCGATCCGACTGGTACATTATAATCAGCTTTGTGTGTCGGTTTGTATGTTTGCTATCTGTGTGAGGTTCCATCCCTAGCCCCGTTACCTCAAAGTGGTGGGATGGTGTAAACTCACTCAACGTTGCTTCCCGTTGTTGTTGCCGGAACAGCGACGCGTTGAGTGAGGCTAAAAACGGGCCCCCTCTTGGACAGGTACCACACCCGGCAGTGGTACTACCGCCAGTTATGGCTAGGCGGTGAGGGTAAGTCCAGGCCATCAACATCTATGAGTGAAGTTCAAGAAGAAGTACCCTCAGTCCCGTGCGGCCACCGCCCTTCCTGGCAGAGAGGGCAAAGGCAGAGGGGGAGAAATCTCACGAGAAGCGATCTGCCAAACAGTTTCCTAAACATTGGAACAATAAACGCTCGAGGTCTCGTTAACGACTATGTGATCGATCAGCTAGTATCTGAAATGGACAGGTGTGCGATTGACGTAGCATGTGTCCAAGAAACGTTAAGAAGCAATGCAGGAAGATGGAGTTGGCACACTGGACATGAAGTGATCTTAGGAGCTGGCTCAAGCAACGGAAAAGTCGGAGGAGTCGGATTCATAGTATCGCCACGTCTCACTGCAAGGATTGCCTATTGCGATGTAGTGTCTGAAAGAATTGCGATCCTAATGCTCGAACTAGGCAAAAAGAAGACGAGAAACATGTCGTCTATGCCTCACACGGTGCAATACGAAGATGAAGCGGTTGAAGAGTTCTACGACCGCGCTCGAAACGCATTGCACACTCCAAAAGGAGCATATGTGATATGCGCTGGAGACTTCAATGCCCACTTAGG